TGAGTTTATCAGCCTTAGCTCGCCGATAGTGTCGGGTTGTCAGACACTAAACCACAGCAAACAGCTGGTAGCAGGGGTGCTGTCTGGACCTGGTGCTTGCTCTACAGGAAGAGACAGGGAAGGCCCAAGGTCAAAGCCATGAAGGTCAAAAGCCTGTTGTCCTCGCCATCCTCCTCCATCCGGAGCCCGCCCTTTCACTGTGACAATGCTGGTACTCTCCCCTTGCCCAGACACCCCAAACGCTACCCAGTCTTCGGAAAATGACACGAGGCTGCGAGCCTGGGTGACGTTACCATAGTGCAGCGCAGGCTCAGCCTTGGCAGCAATGACCCATAAAAGAGATAGTAGATTTCCGAACCTAGGAGGAGATAGGAAGGGGGTTGTGAGAAGAAAGATTACATTCCCTTAAGGAAGAAAATAATATTCTTACCGGGGAAGGAGATGATCTTTCTACACTGGGGTGTGCTTAACAAACAAGGCTGGGAAAGACTATCATAAAAATATCGCATGTTTCTCTATCAAATAACGCAAACAGTATGTTTTTCTGTTGCTAAGTTTAATTCTTTGCAATGTACTAGTCATTTTTGTTAATATTCCTTTCTAGGTTAAACTGAATTGCACTCCTACAAAACGATTGTATTTTAAGTGGCTGGCACAGTTTGTGAGAAGGAGAAATAAATCACAAATGCAGAGACTATAAAAAGACAATAGTAAGTAGTCTTTGTATTTTTATAGAGTTAATATTTGCTTGACTGTAGTTTTAATAAAGTCTAGTTTTTATAAAAAATCAAAATATTGTTTTATTTAGAAAACACAAAGTCAAAGTGATACAGTATAAAAATAAATGGAAAATACACAAATTAAAGTGTAAACCAGGATGCTGTGGGTATGGAAAGGCATTCCTCAGGAAGAAGTTATTAAGAAGGAGCTGACAGCGAGGAGGAGTGAGGAGTCCCTATTTTCTGATTATGTAAAAGGTGAACGATCACTACGTTTGTACATTTAGATATAGTATAAACACTTGTGTCAGAACACGGTCCATGGACAAAGCTGTGTGATGAGATTTCTGAGCTTGTGAGAAGACTCCGGGTAAACAAGAAGAGAGTCTTGTAACCTCTGTTCTTCCACAACACGGGTTGTTCTTGGGATATGCTCCCGTGCCCCTCCCAGGTGTAGTAAATAGGCGTGGTTTACTTCAGATTACCCATCATTTTACCCACTATTATTCAGAATAACGTTTCCAAGCACGAGTCAATCTCCTGACTGTATACAGCCTACACTCATGTGCCCTTGCCCTTGTGACTGTATGCAGTTTGGACTCAATGGGCTTTGCTCATCTGACTTTGCCTCATCCTCTGAGTAACTCATTATAAACTGTCTGATGCCTGGAATAAAGATGGCTACTGCATGAGACTTAGTCCACCTTATTTTTAGGCCACACATATCTAGCTTCATACCACCACCAGAGCAAGTGACACACTTGGAAGATGGTTGAACAAAAAAAAAAAAAAAAAAGAAAAGAAAAGAAAAGAAAAAGCCGGGCGTTGGTGGCACACTCCTTTAGTCCCAGCACTCGGGAGGCAGAGGCAGGCAGATCTCTGTGAGTTCAAGGCCAGCCTGGTCTCCAGAGGGAGTGCCAGGATAGGCTCCAAAGCTACACAGAGAAACCCTGTCTCGAAAAACCAAAAAAAAAAAAAAAAAAAAAAAAAAAAAAAAGGAAGATGTTTGGAAACAGTTCTATTTATTTATAGGTCACAGAACAGCTGACTTTATTGACCTCTTTCTGTCCCCTGAACCAGACTCAGAGGACTGTGAGCTTCCTAATTCAGAGAGTATTTTGCCACTAATTGAACAACATAGAACCACAGTGTGTGTTAGCTTTTTTTCTTTTTCTTTTTCTTTTTTTTTTTGCCATCTTGACACAAACTAAGGTTAACAGGAAAGAGGGACCTCACCTGAGAAAACACTTCCATCAGATTGGCCTGTAGGCATGTCTATTTTTTGATTAATGATGGATGTGGAAGGGACCAGATCATGGTGGGTGGTGTTTTCTCTGGGCACCTGCTCCTGGGATGAATAAGAAAGCAGGCTGAGTAAGCCATAGGGAGTGGGCTTTGCTCCAATTCCTGCCCTGACTTCCTTGGATGATGAACTGTAAGCTATAAGGTGAAATAACCCCTTTCCTGTCCAAGTTGCTTTTTTTCTTTTCTGTTCATTTGCTGGGAAATCACAGAAATCCTCCTACTTCTGACTCCTGGTGCAAGGATTAAAGGCATGCACCACCACAACTGGCCCCCAAGTTGCTTTTGGCCATGGCGTTTATCACAACAATAGAAAGCAAACTATGACAGATGGAGTGTAGATGTCAGACAATAACATGAGAAAAAGACTTTTGAATGTGCGCATGTTTGAAATTGTGCTATAGAATATGCTCAGCACAGCATTGCAGCTCGCTAATGGTTAGACACTGCTTATATCACTAACAGTAAATATCAACGCAGAGGAGAACTGCTCTACCTCTGTTGGGAGCTGTGCCATTTGCATTGCACTTTTCTCCATGTGTGACCCTGGGGCTGTGATAATCTTACTGCACTCTTGGGCATGTGGGAGCCTCTCCCAGTCTTCTTGGTGACTGTTTCCTGTCAGGTGTAGGGATGGACCTGGAACACAGCTGGGACATTTGAAGATTTTTCTTGCCACCTCACTTCCTGAAACCATATGATCTACTTACTCTGAGACCCAGATTATATACTTAAAATGTTGGGAGTTGCTGGAGAGCAGGCCCAGCACCTCCCCTGGACAACACAATAGAGCTGACCCCTCTGATGGGGCCTGGGGGAGCCAGCCCTGAGACAATGAGCTTGAGAGATCTGGCCCTCCCCTCATCTGCCATATGGTGGTGGTGTGGAGGGGGAGCAGGGAGGGAGGGAGATAGGGTGGGAGATGCCCTTCCCACCCCAGGCCACACCCCTCACCACCTATAGCCAGTAGAAGAGCCGGCCCTGAGGTCATGAGAGCACGTGAACTGGCCTGACACCTCACAGGCTGCAGCACAGCACAAGTTGCAAGCACTGCACCTGCCTTTTCCAAAGGTGGGCTGGTCACTCATGTGCAGACAGTTCTTGTAGTTTCTATAATATTCCTTTGATATATTTGATGGCTTTTAAACTAGTATCACACTATTTTGATTATCATGGGTATGTATTTGAAATTACTCCTCTTAACTTGTTTACTTTTTAGGGCTATTTTGACAATTCTTCTTTTTAAAGATTTATTTTTATGTGCATCAGTGTTTTACCTGCATGTATGTCTGTATGGGTGTGCCAGATACTCTGGAATTGGAATTACAGACGGTTGTGAGCTGCCATGTAGGTGCTGGGAATTGAATCCATGTCCTCTGGAAGAGCAGCCAGTGCTCTTAACTGCTAAGCTCTTATTGACAGTTCCTGAGCATGGTCATTTATGTATGAACTTAAAAAATATATCTATGAGCCTCATATCTTAGCCCTGGCTGATGTCAGTCAAGTGGCCTGTCAGTGACTTCAAATAGCAGATTTCCCTGAGAATTTTGGAACACACACACACACACACACACACACACACACACACACACACACACACACACGCCCCTCTAAATGTCCTGCTAAGAGTGATTCTGGGGAGAATTAACCTCTTTTTTTTTCTTTCTTTTTTTCTCTCTCATTTTTTAAAATTTAAATTAGAAGAAAGCTTTTCTTGTTTTTTTTTTTTTTTTTTTGAGTTTTTCGAGGCAGGGTTTCTTTGTGGCTTTGTAGGCTGGCCTGGAACTAGCTCTTGTAGACCAGGTTGGTCTCAAACTCAGAGATCCACCTGCCTCTGCCTCCCAAGTGCTAGGATTAAAGGCATGTGCCACCAACACCTGGCTGAAACAAGCTTGTTTTACATGTCAATATCAGTTCCCCCTCTCTCCCCTTTTCCCCTGCCCCCACCCCACCCCTGCAACTCCCTATCCCATCCCTTTTCTGCTCCCAGGGGAGGATGAGGCCTTCCATGGGGGAATCTTCAAAGTCTGTCACATCATTTGGAGCAGGGCCTAGGCCCTCCCCTGTGTGTCTAGGCTGAGCGAGTATTCCTCTATGTGGAATGGGCTCCCAAAGTCCATTCGTATACTGCCAGAGGCCCCATAGATTGCCCGGGCCTCCTAATTGACACCCACGTTTTTACTGCTATTCTTTTCCACTGTGTTTTTTTATTCCACATGGGGGCAGTAGTGAGGCTCAACAGCCATTGAAGAGCTGGGAAGGGGTGAAGAGCTGTTGAAGACTACAGGCCTCCTGTCTGGATCTCTCCGTAGTGCATCTCCTTGTATTGCTTCTCTTGCAGGCAAACTTTCAAAATAAAGGAGGTGACATTAGCGATCCCTAGGTACACAGAACTGAAGGAGTCTGTAACAGAAACCACGAAAACATTGTAAAGAGGAGTAAAGGAAGAATTGACACAATTGCATTTCATTTTGACAAAGCACACACGATTTTAAGTAAGTAGTAACTATAAAACTGCCCTGCTCTATAGTTCCATGTGAAGTTCCAACACACACATAGGATGTTGTGTTCACCTTTCAAACAGGACCGGCAAAAAGTATAACAGAAGCAAGGCAACATGGCTAGGGTGGATGGTGGCCAAGAGCAATTAGGATTGAGTTAGGATAAGGATAACAGGTGCAGTGCAACAGGAGGGACTTGGATTGCAAAGCTCAGGTGCTCCTGTACCCAGACATCCCTGGGAGTACTGAATGGGAAGCACCTGTGTAACTGAGTCTAGTACTGCACCTAAGGAGTGGAAGGAGAGCAGGGGTCTTTTGGGAAAGCTCTGTGTGAGGAGAAGACTCAGATAAGTAGTCCCCAGGAAGTGACCTCACTTCCTTGACAGGAACCCAACAGTTCAGAACCCTGGGACCCACAGAGCCAACTGTGAGGGTCAGGCCAGCAGGGTCTCGTCCTTGAGACCCTAGAGAGATCAGAATGTTCTCTTGCTGTTTTAAGGCTACCCCAGGCTCAGAGCCTAAGAAAGACAAGAGTGAAGGCCGTGGTGGTGTCTGGAAACATCGAGTTCACTCTTGCCTCCAATGCCTCTGGCCATTTGGCGGGAAAGAAACAAACCTGACCCAGGGCAGCCATGTCCAGGACCACAAAGACCAGGTAATTTCTGAAATCGCAGAATTTCACCAAAATTTGCTGTGGGTGTTTGGCTGTGTAATGGTTCAGGAAAATCTGAATGATAATAACCAATGAGAAAGTCGCAGTCCTGCCTGTGCCTGTTTGAACCATCCGCCTTGATCTCCCCTCAGGTTGAGAAGGAGTCTGCCCCAAAGGTCCAGGAGGGGTCCTGTAGAGAGTCCCGCATCAGTGCAGTTATGGTGGCAAGACTGGTAAACCACCTGGTGCCTTCCCTGCAGGGTGGGGACCCCTTCTTCGTCCCAGCCTTCCTGTGTATCTATCAAAGGTTTGCCACCACCCAGCAGGTGCTGGACCTGCTGTTGGAGCGGTGAGTTCCCACCTCCAAGCTCAGAGGCCTCCAATCCTCCTGTTGGTCCCGGGAAGCTCCCTGACTACTTTTTTTCTAGAGTATTATCAGGACCCAGGGGCACAGAGTCAGAAGATGCTTCCTACACATTTGGCTCTTGGGACTCGGGTGTCTAGAGCTGAGACCCTAATGAATCTGGGTGTTTCCTGCACACTGAAGAAGCTCTCTTTCCCTGACCCAATTTTTCTGATGCCTTGGTCAGAGCACTTTTCCCAATTGTAAAGGAGGTTCTAGAACTTGAGTACTCATAATGTGTCCCCAGTGGAGACCCGTGGAGGACAATTTGAGGGACCCTTTGCACCCTGACATATCTGGTTACAGCTGTTTGTGTTTGCCCATTGCACAAACATATTTGAAGCACCTACTGAATGCAGGTGAATTAATAATTCTGAGAGTAGACAGAACTGTATTTTCCTCCCCAGGAATGAGCCTGGCCCCTAGATGTCTTTTAGCTAGGGGACCTAGGATTTTACAGGTGACATCCTTCCTGGTCTCCTCTAGGTATGCACACTTGCGCCTTTTTTGTGAAGAGGATGAACAGATAAAGAAGTAAGTGGGCTTTACAACAAGAGCAAGTTGCTTGCCTCTCCAGAGTGGGGTCATTTGAGTGTCAAGGGTAAGGGATGGCCAATGCTTGGGTGTCAAATTCCCAAAGGTTTGGACTCCCATACTGATGTCTAAGCATTGCCTGCAGAGTGAGAATTGCATGGGCAGGGTTCTTCCAAGTGGGGAGATGTGGGAAACCTTCCGACTAAGGCATCCACGTGAGACTTACACTCATCTCAGCCCACGCCAGGCAGGCTTGGCCAGATGTCCTCCATAAGAGCCTGAGAAAGGCTGTGTGGAGTTCCCTGCTCACAGGGACCTTAGAGCCCCACTCACTGTGCTCATGTGCATAAGGGCTGAGCATCTTCTATTTTGTAGTCCCCGATGTAGGTAGCCATGAGAGAGTTGGAGAAATTCTACACAATTAACATTGTTGTGCTTCCCCTTCTCCAGAACCATCTGTACATTTCTGGATACATGGATGGACAAGAAACCTGAGGAATTTTGCCAGTCTTCAGCCCTGACCATTGTGAAACAGATGAAGAACTTCTTGGTTGTGAACATGCCCTACTCGGATCTTACTGTTCGTGTCCGTATGCTCCTGACCCATTTGGAGGAAGAAGAGGCCACTGGATCAGAGGCCAAGAATGAAGAAGCCTCGGGTAGGTGCTTGACACCCTGTGAGGTATGTTCAGTACCTGGTGTGCCTGGGGGAGGCTTGAAAGGCTCCTCTTTGCAGGAACTGTCACTGTACCATAGCTTGGGCACATGTCCTTTTGTAGGAGAGGGTCCGGGATTCCAGGCAGACATGGTCTCCTCTTTTTTTTTTTTATTTTTTTGAAAGGCTGAGAAGGAGGTCTCACCCTGGGTATGTCGTCTCCTCTTGTACCTCCACTGCCCCTTTCCCTTCTAGAGACGCCCACATCAGCAACACGTCTGTCTACATCCATTGATCTGAGGAGGCGCGCATTCGCAGGTCCAGAACTTGAAGTGTGTTAACCAGCAGAGAAGCCAGATACTCTGGTGCCAGAAACAGCTTGTGCACCAGAGCCAGACAGCACAAACACCGCCAGAAGATTCCGTGACATCTCTGCTGTTGGAACCAGATGTGACAGCAGCTTTCCAGCCAGCACACCTGTTAGCAGCTGTGGATCCCGTGTGTCTCACCATGTCAGCAGACACAGTGCAATGTTCACACATCTCACCTTAGCAGCAGTGGGTCTGTTTCCCTAGGGAATGGACCTACTACCCCTTTCTCCTGTTGCCTATCGGTATCCATTTTGCAGACACCACCAGTTCTGTTCTCCACAGAGTCACATCCTGATTTCAACCATGCAGCGTTCCCAGCACCACAGCCAGCTTCCCCTACCCCAAGAAATAGCCCCTTTACTCTTCTGGCTCTTTTTGATGTTGTGTGAAAGTATTGGTTTTAATAAATTATTCATGATTGATTTTCATTGCCTTAATTGTGGTTATGGTACCCACTCAGCATGCTTGTATAGGGTTTAGCAATGCCCCCAAGCAGATACACTGAGGCCATACTGGAGAGAAGGGAGGCAAAAACCCCTGCTTTCAAAGAGACCAGGTGAATGCCTGTGAGTGGTGCTAGAAATACAGAGAGTTGAGGCTAGCTGTCATTTGCCCGTGTCCTAGCAGCTGCGGTCATATGCTTAGAGGTCAGGTTTCCCAGGTGTCCTTCAATCAGGTTTCTGCTTTAGTTTCATTTTCCTTACACTAGGTAGCAGTGCCATTTTAGGGTCTGATGTGGACAAATTACAATGTCATGAGATCCCTGATTTCCACGAGTACAAGCTGTGTGTGCATATCCACCATTGCCCATATTCGGTACTTTATTTGAAGAGTGAGGGTCTGGAGTTCTCAGGAGTGTTTCATGCTACTGATGATGGTTAAACCATGCTGATTTTCTTAGAGTTTTGCCTAGCTTTTCCTCAATGTTGGAGATAGTCTGTGAGTTACAATGTCAAGGTTTTCTTTATATTTCCTCCAGTGTTTATGGATATGGCCCACAAACAAGCCAATTGCACTTACCATGCTTTTCTGGCTCTCCTCGGGACAATTCCATCAGTGACTACCACCTATTGATGTCCTACATGTCACCTTGGGCATCTAAGGGACTTGTCTTCTCAGAGAAGCTAGTCAGGGTGTCCAGTACCTCTAGGGGTCACATATCTGCTCACTATAGCTTCCTAGGAATTAAGGGACCCCACCCATCAATCACCATGGCATTTTTCATGGTGGGGGAGGGGAATCCCTCAAGTCTCAGCTAACCTAAGTTTCCAGACTTTCAGAAAGTCCACATCATAGCTTGGGTGTTGAGCTTCAGCAAGGTCTGTGTAGGACAAGATAAGATGGAAGAATGCAATTGTTCAGGAAGTCAGCTGAGAGGTCCCCCCCCCCAGCCCCAGCCCATCCTGAGAGGTTTGGAATCAATCTTCCTGGTGAAACAGGAAGTCACAGTGTGCCAGTCCTCCACAGCAGGGGCAGTGGACTGGCTGTGACAAGATTGTACAGGAAATGTAAGATTATGAAGACGTGTGTGTCCATGCACAAACAGAAAGGGAAACTGCTCTTACAGGTCACAGATTATTATATGGAAAACAGTGGGCCTCCATGAGATCTCAGTAGAGCTAATAAGGGACTGCCAAGTCATAAATGAATAATGGATTAAAAACTGAATCTTTTGATCTTTATCAGTGAAAGAGCTGAAAATGAAAATATCACAAATTGATCTCAATGAAATAATACAAAAGATTATATTTTAAATGTGCACAGTGAAAACCAGACATTTCCAGTATAAACTTTGTACTATCAAAAGTATAGTAAAGAGACTCTATTACTCTGTTCATGGGCTTAGAGGCTCAGTTATCTCTGCAATTGTCATTATTGTTGCAGTTGGCATCATCATTGCTGTGACTAAGCGTTTGCCAGCACCACAGTAGGGAAAACGGAGTTGTCTCTCAGCTTCAGAGGCCTTCTCCATTATGACAAGGTGGGCAAGGTGCAGTTGAGCAGTTCATTCCACATTGAGTAAGGAGGCAAAAGAGAATCAGGTGCGTGGCTGGCTTGCTTCTGTGATTCTGTCCAGACCCCAGACCAATGGGATAGTGCCGAGCACATCCAGTATGGGTGTTCCCTCAACAGTGAATCCTCCTCAGAAGAGCCACCACAGGACACACACACAATTGTCCCTCACCAGTCTCCTAGTGTTTCCTAAATTCACCTCTGTCTACAGTGAATATTAACCATCACACTTACCCGCATCTGTCTAACATTCAATGTAGACTTAGTAGTCAAACCTGACTGCTGTGGTTTCTCCTTCCCAAACACTCAGAATCAAAGCAGGCCACAGACTTGCTTCTTCTTGCAGAATAGAGCAAAGAGCCTGTTTAACAGCAGGAAAATTGAAGGAACCTTGGAGACTTAGCTCTGAAAGACCCTAGGCAGCACCCTTGATGCTCTTCAGCAGCTGCCTGGCACAGGGCTGCCTACTAACTTTCAGAAAGAGACCAGTGTTGCAGCCCTTGCCTAGCATGTGTGAGAGAGACCCTGCCATCGATCCCCAGCACTACAGGAAGAAAACTAGCTTTCAGACATGTGTCTGTCACTCTGTCACTTCCTACTTTTAGGACTTATCTGTGGTAGATTTTCAAGCTAGAAACCCTCATGTCCTTGAAATCGGTGAAATTTAAGATTCTATACTTTCATTTAATTTCTTGAAACGGCAAAAGCACATTATGAGTCATGTGGTTGTGCTTATAATGGGCTTAGCACACTACACAGGGATTTATTGTACCAGGAAGGTAGTTAGGAAAGAACCAGAGTGGAATTGATATGTAAATGATACATTCACACTAAGCAGAGGTCATTGTATTTGATTCTTTTCTGTTGCTGTGATAAAACATCAGGACAAGGCAACTTATAGAAGGCAGAGTCTACCTGGGTTTGGTTTCCAGAGGGAGACTAGTCCATCCTGGTGTAGCTGAGGCATGGCAGCAGGAACAGGAAGTTGAGAGCTCTCATCTTGAACTGCAAGTAGGAAGCAGCGAAAACTTCAAGTGATGGAGGGTTTGTAACCTCAAAGCCCACCCCAGTGACATCTTCCTCCAGCAAGGCTGTGCAACTTAAACCTCCTCAAATAGCATCACCACCTGGGGCCCAGGTATTCAACACCTGAGACTATGGGGACATTCATATTCAATCAATCACAGCTCGAGAATGGTATAGGCTGCATCAATGAACAGATTATGCTAATCTCAACCAAAAAGTGGTAGGGATTGTCATCTCAGTTTGGTAGGAACCTAGCTGTAACTGAGTCAAACTCATGCTACCATGATTATGGTTAACAATGCTATGTGTAATATCATCATCATCACCAACGTTATTATCATCACGTTAATACATTTAATTGAAATTTGATTGAATTCAGTTCATACATTGGTCTTTAATGTACGTTCCTGATTATTTAAGAATAAGAGTTAATCTCTGGTTGAAATGGGTGCAGGATTGTGGAGTGTGGAATCAGGGAACAGGTTTTCTGAGTATCCCCCTCCTCAGCAGCTTAGCTAATACCAAGATGGAGCAGGGGAGAACCAGAATATGAAGCTGAAACTAAATCCTAGCAGACCAACTCACATCCAGCTTTTGTGTTCTTTTCCTGTCCATGTCTGCATGCTTAGCTGTAAGCATCATACACACACACACACACACACACACACACACACACACACACACAGAGTTCAGAGTTCTTCTTGCAGTTAATCTTGTCATAGCCATTTTGCTCAAGTTCCATATAGTTATCCAAATGGTGATAATATTTTGCTGTTTCAGTTTATATTTTTAAATAATGTTTTCCATGTTTCTTTACAAATTATGCATCTGTTACATAGATGAGCTATTCATCCTTGGTCTATTTAACCAATAAATCCTTAACTTTTGGCAATAAATTTGTTTCCCCATTATGTTACAATAAATCATATTTTATGCCCTTAGTGATAAGACAATGTTCTTATTTCTGTGGCTTTTGCAGCATTTAAACTCCCAGGACAGTATAGACTGCTTATTTCTCTCAAAGACAAAGTCACTTATTTTCATTTATGTGTATGAGTGTCTTGCCTACATGCATGTCTGTGTATTATGTGAGAGCCTCATGCCCACAGAGGCCAGAAATGACATCAGCACCCCTGGAACTGGAGGAACAGATGCTTGTGAGCTGGCATGTAGGTGCTAGAAATTAAAACCTGGTCCTCCAGCAGAGCATCCAGTGGTCTTCACTGCTGAGCCATCTCTCCAGACTTGACTATTAACCCTGTTCGACTGGGAGTCCAGATCAGAATCCTATTCTCCACTTCTGGAGCTGCAAGGTCTTCAGCAGTGTTACTGAGGTGAGCCCCACCCTCTTTGTTCTTAATCTTTCCAACTGATAGGAATGACAGGATGGGATGCAGAAGACAAATGCGGCACTCTGAAGATCTGCCTTATAGGCAAGGATCTTCCCTGTCTGGAGGTCTCAAGGGAGAAGAGCAAGATATGTAGTCCTTGTCTGACTGGTAGATGGTGCTCCCAGGGTCTGACATGCAGTCATACCAGGTTGGCCTCCTTCTTCCCATAGCTAGTTCTTCAGGGTGTTGCCATCACTGTGTGTCCCCTATGGTTCCTTTTGGGTCTGGGGAGTGGCAAAGTGCACGTGGAATTTTCTCACTCAGATGTTCAGTGAACTGACTTCCACAGCTGCCACTTGCAGGGTTGGATCTGTGTGTGGATCCTAGGAGCAGAGATGAGGGTAATGGAGACCTAGAGTGACATCAGAGTGGGCTGTAGAGGGAGGGGATGAGGACACTTATCTCTGGAGTCCAGAGACCTGAGGTGTAGGAGTTTGGGCTGAAGACTGCTTCAGAGCCTATCATGAGCTAAATGAGGGGAGTAAGGAGGCAGGGATGAGGAGTCCTTGCTGGACCACCTTCAGGCTCTGATGCTGGCAGTCGGTCTCTCAAATCAGCATTTCACACAGCGAGGAAACTGTGTTCCTGGGCAAATGGACACTTATGAAATTAGCTTACATCATGATCCAAACTGAACGGAAGAAAATAAAAGTCAAGAGAACATGTATTCAGGCTGAGGAGATGGGAGGCGCGGAAGCAGACACAGTGCTTTTGCCTTTTGTCCGGGGAGGCTGAGCTTAGTCTTTCCAAAGCTTCAGACAACAGCTCTTGCTACTGCAGCTCCTAGTCAACAAGGCTCCTCCAGCTTCTGCACCCGCGGGGTGGAAGGGCATCATCTAGAGGAAGCTGAAGGGCACCAGGAGAGATTTTTCTGGGACTGCAGTGCCCTGAGGTCCTCTCTAGGTCAAACTCAGTGTTGTCCAAAATCTGCTTCCTGTTGTGGTGTGAGTCTGCTTTGAACAGAGTACATGATCTGTGTTCACCTGCCACGGGGACCTGGTGCTGTAAGACGTTCCAGGAGTCCCGTGGGCTCATGTGACTGGTGGGACGTTTCACGTGTATGACAAGCACTGTTGGATAACCGTCCAGACCACGTGAGTGGAGGTATATCTGCAAACCCTTGGGTCTATCGGTGTTGTGGCTTTCAGACCCTGCACAGGGGAGCACACGTCCTGTGGGACGTGGTTGCGCGGTGTCTGGTGCTTACCCTAAACTACAATGGTCCGAAAGTTGGGGTTTACTCTAAGGCTTCGGTAGGGTGGACAAAGGGGAGGGGCTGTGTGGCCTGAGTGCTCCCCTTTAAGGTAGATCTGAGGTTGAGGAGTCTGTGGGCTCCTTGGCTTCCCACAGTGACCTTTCTGGGAACCAGGGCAACAGCATCCTTACTGTTCAGACTGGTCCAGACTCTCAGAGGATACAGTCTTCAGAAAGCTCTAAGGTTGCCAGCATGGGAGATCTCACCAGAGGGAAGGGTCAACTTACACGCCAGAGAATTTGTGTGAATGACAGGAAGGACAACAGGTCAGGAGACCTGCGAATGAGGGATGTTGTGTGCTATGAGGGATGACTGTCTTTCATGGTGGCCCTAAGTCAAGAAAGCCCAGAGATTGCTGGCTCTTTCTTCACCCAGGATGATGGTTCTTGCACATCCGGAACCTCCCACAGGTGGGCGGGGAGCCCATCCAAATACTTTGGTGAGCAACAACACAGTACTGGAGCTTCAACTGTCCCTGCTTCCTTTTAATTCCCCTTTGAGAACATGTTTGTCATTATGTAAAGTGATCACAGGAGCTCAAGAGAATTCTCTGTGGTTAGGAGCACTCCCTGTTCTTTCAGAGGACCTCCGTGATTGGGAGCACTCCCTGCTCTTTCAGAGGACCTTAGCTTGCTCTTAGCATCCTGGTGTGGGTAGTACATAACAGCGTATGGAATGCTGGCTGCAGATCCTGTGGCTTTTCGGGCTTTGAGGGGACCAACACCAGCAAGTGCACATGCACAGACAGGTAATTTTAAAATAATTCAAAATTGCATTTTAGTTTATTTCTTTGTGTGTGTGTGTTTGCACCATAGTGCCTACGTGGAAGTCGGTGGACAACCTAGAGGATTCAGTTCTCCCCACCATGTAGCTCTCACTGAGCTTGTGTGGGAATACCTTACTCATGGAGCCATCCCACTGACCCTGTCCTGTGTTCTTTACTGAGGTACTTCCAGGAAACAGTGGAGGGGAGAGAAGTGGCAGATGGCTGTGAGGTTTATTTTTTCTCCTTATTTCAGAGTATATTATGCAGGGGTGCCTTTGTGCTGCTCAGTCTGTTTCTATCTTCCTCACTTGCCTTTCCACACATTAGTTTGTCTATTTCTGTGGGATTGCTCAGTACGTGACCCATCAACTCTCTTCATCCCGGTATTTGTTCACAAGACCTGGAGCCTCCTTAAATTCAGTATCACCCCGTAGATAAGAGAACGCATGGCACCCACTCACCAAGTTCCAAACACCTTCCAATTCTTTTCTCAACTTCGGGCAGACTCTGCTCACAAATAACTCTCAAAGCCCCAGGAAACTGGAGATTCCTATGGTTGCAGTACGATTTTCTGTTGCTCTCCACTCAGGTGCTGTTGTTGAATTTCCACAAGAGAGCACTGAAAATTCACACCACCAGCAGACACTGTCCTCAAGCCTGGAGGGCTCTGGGGAGAGGGAACCAAAGTTGTGCTTAGGTTGTTGACATGCACCGCAATCTGCTCTGGGCCACCTTCTCTTAGCCCTGGCTCCACAGTTCTGAATAAGGAGGCTCACTGTTTTCTTAACTCAAGCTTTTACTACGCTGACTAATTTTACATAAAGGAAAGCAGATTTGACAGAAGCCCCTTTTTAGTTCTTTCATGAAATATCAGGGAGAAAGCACTTGTAATGAGCATGTACTTGCCCCTACAGGCATTAGAATATGCCATTCATGACCACAGGTTAATTGCTTACACACAGACAGACAAATATGTGAGAAATACCCAAATACACATAAGACTTTATAGATCAAGCCTGAGGATATTCCTTATTCAGTAGGAAAAAAAGAATTATTCAAGAAGGAAATGCCTTTTTAACTGCTCTTAGAAATATTACCTTTACATTTTTTATATCATAAAATCAGTTCTGAATGGAATTTTTAATAATATAAAAGTGAGAAATGTCCTAGAAGAAAAAAACAAATTCCTTTAGAAATGATTTATTTTTAGTTTATATGTGTCTCTCTGTGCTCACACACACACACACACACACACACACTCTCTCTTTCTGTGTGTGTGTGTGTGTGTGTGTGTGAGAGAGAGAGAGAGAGAGAGAGAGAGAGAGAGAGAGAGATGTATGCAGGTTTAGATGCCTGTGGAGGCCAGAGAGGGTGTGAAGTCCCATGGAGCTGGAGCTCCAAGTGGCTGTAAGCTGCCTAGTGTGAGCTCTGAGGATGAATTCGTGTCCCCTGAAAGAGCATTAAGCTGGTGCTGAGCCATCACTCCAAGCCCAGAAAAATGAAATTCTTAATCCTACAGTTTTTATTTTCAAACACTTTCCTGAGAATGACCCCAAAAGAACTTCTAGACTTTTATTTTTAAATGGTGGTAATATTATTTATTTTGTTCAGATAGTCTGTCACAGTGAAATAAACAAATCAAAACAATAAAAACTGAAAGGAGGATGTTGGGAATTACAACCTAAAAATGTATTTTGACAGACAAAGTAAGCAAATAAAGCTCTTAAAATTATTGTGCAGATGAAGTAATTTCTAAATTTTTTTTGGTATTTATTTATTTTTGTTTTTAAACCCTGACTGCAGTTTCCTTTTCCTCCTCTCCTCCCAGTACCCCCCACCCCCACCCCAGCCATCCACTCCTCCTCTGTTTCTCTTCAGAAAAGGGCAGAGGAGCAGATCAGCCAGCCATGGTATATCAAGCTGCAAGGAAACTAAGCACCTCCTCCTTTCCAATTAGGGCTGGATGAGGTGACCCAGGATGAGGAGTGGGGTGCCCAAAGCAGGTAACAGAGTCAGAGACAGCCCATGCTCCCACTGTTAGGAGTCCCACAAGAAGACCAAGCTACACAGCTGTAACATGTGCTGATGGCCTAGGTCAGTCCTATGCAAGCTCCTGGGTTGTTGGTTCAGTCTCTGTGAGGCCCTATGAGTCCAGGTTAGTTGAATCTGTGGGTTTTCTTGTGGTGTTCTTGGTTTCTCTGGTTCTTGCCATCCTTCCTCTCCTTCTTTCACAGGATTAACTGAGCTACACCTAATGTTTGGCTGTGGGTCTCTGCATCTGCCCCCATCAGTTGCTGGATGAAGCCTGTCTGATGACAGTTGAGCTAGGCATAAACTATGAGTATGGCAGAATGCCAATAGAAAACATTTCATTTATTTTTTTAACAACAGTCTTATTTCGTTCTATCTTTGGTCTCTGATCCATCTTGCCTCTAGGTCCTTGCCCTCCAGGCAGTGTCAGGGGTGAGCTCTGTCTCATGGTATGGGTCTCAAGCTCGACCAGCCATTGGTTGGCCACTCCCACAATTTCTGGGCCATCTTTACCCAACATATTTTTAGGCAGAACAAATTGTAGGTTAAAGGTTTAGTGACTGGGCTGCCTCAAAAGAACATCTAGATGGTTGTTGTTGTTATCATGGTTATTTAGGTACTGGGGTTTGAACCCAGGACCTTGTGCCTGCTAAGCACATATTCTGCCCTGAACTCCACCACTAGGCTAAATGCAATCATTGTTAATGTCAACTTGTTGAAATGAAGATCAATCCTTCCTGTAGAGCAGACAACACGTTGACAAAAGAACGCCAACTCTCAGAATAGTCACAACATGCTTGTCTCAGGTGAAAAACATGTCTTCCTTTTACAGAAAATTCTTGTATATATCAGTAAGGGAAATGGCAGGCTCTGTTTACTCATCTGTATTAGGAATTAACCCAGGGCAAGAGCCCTCCCAGTCCCACAGGAGTGTGCAACAATCCTTGTTGAAAAGGTTGCTGATCAAAACATGGTGCACAGGCAAGGCACCACTGCAGCCCACTGTGCCAAGTAGAATGAAAACCTCAATGGTGGCCATGATCCCTTCACACTGTGCAAACACAGAGAAAAGAACAAAGCACAGATGACACAAACTTATTTCCAAGACACCTGACGTGCATTCGTATCAACAGTGATGAGTTCTAGTAGACCCCTGAGGAAGTAGCACAGGTGTGACTGTGGCGATCAGAGGGAGGGGCAGAGCACAGTAGTGGATTCTCTTTTTATTCTGCCAGAAACAAGTCTGTAGGGAAGAGCTAAACTTTGTCTCAACTCTACAATTTTGCTCCAGATTTTTATACAATGAAATAGAGTTGCATTTTGAATTTCCTGGCTCCTGTTCTGCCCCTAGTCAGGGAAATTAGAGCTCTTAGAAGCGATGGTGTCTTATTTCTCCACCTGGTCATTTCCCTGGATGATAAGGGATGATAAGTCGTGTGGGTGACAGATAAGTTAGAAGGGGATGCTTATTTGCTTTTTGATTAGACTGCTCCTTACAGGGATCTGAACCATTACAAGTCCAGGTTTCCTCGTAAGAGTTTCATTCAAAAGACCTCATATGGCCTGGGCATGGATATTGAATGTTTCCTCAATATTCTGATGACTCCTAGTAAGGAAGAGTTGTAACATGTGAACCCCAAGATCTCAAAAACTTGGGAGGATTCTACCAGTGTTGGAGTATGATTATATTCTATGCTTGCAATCCCTTCTTTTAAATACTATTTGCCTAACATTCTTCTTTCTTAGCTTTCATTAATTAGCAAGTTTAAAAGAAATGCTACTGGCCACAGCTAATGGCTCACAGAATAACACATTTGTTACAATTGTCAATTAGCCATTTCACTTAGAAGGTCTTTAGAAAATGATTTTCTTTTACTAAGTACTTAAAGATTTCCTGTCTCCTTGTTCTCAATGATGTCCCCGGTCAACCAACATGAAGGGCAAGCATATTAGTCAGAGTTTTCCAGAGTGAAAGAACTTATAGAATTCTGCCAGAAACAAGTCTGTAGGGAAGAGCTAAACTTTGTCTCAACTCTACAATTTTGCTCCAGATTTTTATACAATGAAATAGAGTTGCATTTTGAATTTCCTGGCTCCTGTTCTGCCCCTAGTCAGGGAAATTAGAGCTCTTAGAAGCGATGGTGTCTTATTTCTCCACCTGGTCATTTCCCTGGATGATAAGGGATGATAAGTCGTGTGGGTGACAGATAAGTTAGAAGGGGATGCTTATTTGCTTTTTGATTAGACTCTTTATAGATATAGAAAAGGGATTCATTTCCAGAGTAAAATAATTTATAGAATGTATACACACACACACACACACACACACACACACACACACACACAGCTGGTCCTCAGTATAGGCTGGAATCCAGAAGAATCAGACTCTAATGCTGGTGAAGAAATGGATTTGCTAGCAAGCATGAAAAGAGCAAAAGCTTCCTTTTTCCATGTACTTATATAGGCTTC